GGAGTCGTGTTATAACTTACTGGCCTGTAAACTCCATGTCTAATACCACAGATTTTTATTTGATAGTTTTAATTTCAAAGTATTTCATAATAATCTCACGAGAAAATTGTCCTATTCGCGACCTGAAATTGGACGTGTTTGATGTATTTTGTTGTAGCTATTTTGCATCTTTTTTATTGTGTGTTCTAAAATTATGTTTATGTAACGTTTTTTTTTTAATTTGATAATTTTCTTTATATAATCTTCTGAACTCTGACGCTAGTCCAAAGATGGCGGCCATCTTTCTAGTTGAGGCAGATCATTAACTTTAACACAGAGAAGTTTATTATAACGACATGCTTATATGTCGTAATCAAAACGTGAACATTAGAGTACAAAGGTATTTTTGAGACATATTCCGGTTCACTTTTCTCTGTTTTAAATGAGTTTAAAGACGGTAACCGTTAAGCTTATGCTACAATACAGTTGTTTATATTCTCAATCCAGGTTTCAACTTAACTTCATAATATCACAAGTAAATGAAATTATATCACGTGGTATTGTCTCTAACATCTATTGGATAATTCTATAGAGAATGATACCTAAATACCAATCTCCATTTGAACGAAACGTGCTGACGGATGAGTCTAACGTCATTATTTCTTGCATCTCCACAATGTCTTGTTGATCTAGGCCTACTTAGGTGAATACCATTACCATGTCGAGACAGGCATGACGAACTTAGGCTAACTTCACCAGGAATCAATATAAACAACGCTTAACACAAATAACCCATGCAGAGAAATAGTTTGAGTTTTTTTTGTTTTGTTTGTTTTTTTTTTCAAATGCCCGACCCGAATCTATCGACCGCTTGACTGGAAAGTGGAAGAAGTTTTTACGTCATCAAATGTTGAAAGGAGCGTTTCGGTTGGGTAAAAACATGCGAGGAACTGTTTTAAACAAAATTTCAGCTCTTGGCTTTTGTTAATTTCGTTAATATTGCGATAGTTGCATCTCTTTTAGATTAGATTTTTTCAGAATGTAAACACCAGACTCCATTATCTAATCCCCAGTAAATGAATATAACAAACACACTATTACTTAAATATATAACGACAATGCGCAGACGGCAATTTAAGCTCGTTCACTTAATTTTCATATTTTGGTTTTTTAATACACTATAAAAATATAGAAAAGAACAGGGGACGTGTGCATTCTTAAAATTAAGGGGCAGGGCACATTTTCACCGGTAAATTATCACACCTGTCACCGTTCCTTATGCATTGAATAATCATAATTATTTTTATTCGATGCTCTCACGAGAATCGCAAACCTGAAGAGGTAAATGTTACATTTGTCGCTATGTTATATAATGGCATATTATATATTGTAAGCACACAAATATGATACAAGGACTGAAAGTAGTGAATAAAGGAGGAGGTGGTTAGACACAAGGACTGATAGTAATGTATATAGAAGGTAGATAGACACAAGGACTGATAGTAATGTATATAGAAGGTAGATAGACACAAGGACTGATAGTAATGTATATAGAAGGTAGATAGACACAAGGACTGATAGTAGTGAATATAGAAGGTAGATAGACACAAGGACTGATAGTAATGTATATAGAAGGTAGATAGACACAAGGACTGATAGTAATGTATATAGAAGGTAGATAGACACAAGGACTGATAGTAATGTATACAGAAGGTCGATAGACACAAGGACTGATAATAATGTATAAAGGAGAAGGTGGTTAGACACAAGGACTGATAGTAATGTATATAGAAGGTAGATAGACACAAGGACTGATAGTAATGTATATAGAAGGTAGATAGACACAAGGACTGATAGTAGTGAATATAGGAGAAGGTGGTTAGACACAAGGACTGATAGTAATGTATATAGAAGATAGATAGACACAAGGACTGATAGTAATGTATATAGAAGGTAGATAGACACAAGGACTGATAGTAATGTATATAGAAGGTAGATAGACACAAGGACTGATAGTAATGTATATAGAAGGTAGATAGACACAAGGACTGATAGTAATGTATATAGAAGGTAGATAGACACAAGGACTGATAGTAATGTATATAGGAGAAGGTAGATAGACACAAGGACTGATAGTAATGTATAAAGGAGAAGGTAGATAGACACAAGGACTGATAGTGAAATATACAGAAGGTCGATAGACAAACGATAGAATTTGATTGTACAGGGATCTGATTTGGTAAAACAATTATCTAATATGTCATTGACAGACGGTAATATGTATATATTCCACATTCTTACTGTGCCATTATTGAGTACACACATACGCTATGTATGGTTGTTTCCATGGTATTGTAATGTTAACATACACATAGGGTGATCACCTGGCTGATCCGTACATAAACTATCCGTTCTACCAAATCTTATTATAATAACATATAGAACTTGTAAATCTTTTACAATATCATAAAACAAAAGAATTGGGCTGTCTCGTCATACAAAAAAAACGCTACAATTGACAAGCAACGCCAACTTATGTGTGCCATGGTAAAGACCTGTCACTTTTGACAAAGGCATTTAATATGATTGTATGCTTATTATACAAACGCGATTACTTTACAAGATAATGACAACAATAATACAAAGAAATATAATCTATTTGAAAACTCGAAAGTTACCAAAAGGAAAAAAAGAAATTTGATTTTATTGTGTAGAAACATAGAGTAAAAAACATTGTTTAAGAACAATCACCGAAACATCCTTTGGTCCGACTACTTAAGAAAATGCATATTACATGCATTGTATATCATTATCGACACTAGGAACACCTCGACTCGATTACAGTATTTTCCATTGAAACAGTAACTCTTAAGAATGATTGGTATTGAAAATACCTCCTTTTAGTATTGATATAGTTGATAGTACAAAAATAGTAAAAAATGGATAAGCTATAGTTTATGCATTAAGCGTACATAGGCATTTTAAAAAGGCTTTTTTATTGTCTTTAGCACTTTTCAAATATTATTGATCCAAACTACTACTGTGAAGAAAATGCCAAAAGGTCCATATTCCCTGCTCTTGTCACATATAGGATGATCATCCCGTATCAAGTTTATATTCTAAAGTATGAATTATCTTCTTCTTTCGTTTGGAGCTTAATTTCATGAAAAAAAGTCTGCATAGGACAAAATGATGGCGTGAACAGCTTGATTAATAATTAGCGTATGTTGATTTATTACGAAGTCTCCTTCAAATGTCATATACAGATGTCTGTTCTTCTGTAGAGTTTATTCTAAAAATTTGTAATTCTTCCAATGTTTAGCCAAACGAGGTTAGCATATGTAACTGCTGGCAATAAATAAACCGTTACAAGATGTTGGTCATGAAAAGCCTGGGTGAATGATATATCGCATATTTTCAGTCAAATTTACTTGAAGTCATATTTGCCAAAGGTGACATAGAGTCACAACATACCGGCCTATCGTGACTAATTTGAAAATCCAGTGAAATTATTTGGAAGCCGTTTCTTTTTGTATCTATCAGCTCAATTTAGTTTAAAAATTTCGTTATTTAGGTAATTAATCTTTCCCGATAATTTGAGAAGGATTGGACAAATTGGAATCTAAGGGTGGTATGTTTGTGTGTGGCTATAGTGGCATGTTGTATTTAGCCTTAAACTTTACTGTAAACATCCCTTCTGATGGGATGCTTGACGAAAACAAGTATCGCTAAACTTTTATGTAATATTAATTTGAATAAACACAAAATAAAATATAATGATTGAATTTAAAAACAAATCCGACATACCCTGTAGACGATGCAGGTGCAATCCATTTCTAATACTAGTTGTTGTTATGTGTGTTATGCTTAAGGATTTTTTCTAATTGCGATGTAAAGGAGAACATCTCCATTATATGATCCATGTTAAAGTGATCTAAGCTATTTTCCAATTAAGTCTATGCCTTCAGACAATGACCAGGTATTATACAGTTTCCCAAATAGTTTAAATACATCATCTATTGTAGGTTTTTATATATGGAACATCAACAGAAGGTAGTGTATTTATTTCTTAATTCTCTATAGATATCATTAGGTAAAACAGCATTTCATTAGTCAACATACATAAGGTCCTTGACAATGAGTGAAGATAACGACTTTGGCAGAAAATGAACAACTGAAATAAAATGCAAATATTTTTGAAGTTACATACTATATGTATCACAATTTTGAGTGTTCCGTGAATTTCCATTCGATGACATTGGATATTTCTCCTTGTTTGGTTGGGGTTCGGCAAGAAAACTATCTCCCAATCATTATGTTGCATAGATCTAGTTTATGATGTCAACAGGTACCATTCCTCATTGAAAATATACGTGACAAGATGACCAGTGAACTTCATTTTGTATTTCAGTGTTTTATAGAGATTTTGTACTACTATAGGCTAATGATGTCGTTACTGTTACTTCTTCGGAACCTGAGGATATGCAAATAGCAATGAATAAATTCAAATGACAATGGTCAGTTCAGGAATTTAAATAAAACAAGATTATGATCTTCCCTTGAAAAAAAAATGAAGACAGTGACATAACTTTATACTTATCAATCAAATATAATACGTTATTTTTAAATTCAACAGAAAAGTTTCGGGCTGTAGGCATTTCTTCATCTGTAAACCATCACTTGGATATCAAGTATGTCCTGTTATAAATACATAAATCAAAATACGTAACTTTTAATTATGTTTCAAAAAACTATGAAAAAAATGTTACCAATACATGTTTATCAAATCAGAAGACTAGTAGTGTTGTCCTTGAAAACGACACCACTTGGCACATATGTCTCAAAAAGAATATTTATTCTGTGACTGAGTTTCCTAAAATTTTAATTGATCGCTATTTAAGTATTCATTCGAACGTCCCAAAATACTGTATGTGATTCATTAAGGACAGTAGAAAGTAGATAACATTTAATATTCTATTGAATTTACTCAGAAACTTTGAAATCTTGTTTTTGTTTTCCAGATGTGATTTTCGTCTTGGACAAGTCAGGTAGCATTAATCAGTCGGACTTTGCCATAGCTATTGATTTCGTCAAAGAAACCGTCACTGCCTTGACCATTGGTACAGGCAATGTCCAGGTATCTGTGGTCAGTTTCTCCGATACTTACAGTGAGGAATTTGATCTTGATGATCACACGAGTCAGACAGCCCTTTTAAACGCTCTTGAGGGTCTCAAAACGTCCATAACCACAAACGGAGGTACCTTCACATCCGACGCTTTGAATTATGTCCAAAGTACTTCATTCACAAATGCCAAAGGAGTGAGGTCGGACGCAGATCCCATAGTAATTGTAATGACGGATGGACTATCTCAGAATGCAGCAAACACTTTAACAGCCGCTAACCTGATCCGGAGTTCTATAACAAACAGTATCATCTATGCAATCGGTATAGGATCAGACCTTAGCTCTACCACAGAGGAGCTTCAGTACATTGCTAGTGACCCGGACACTGATAATGTTATGTATGTTACATCCTTCCTGTATATATGCAATCTTGTGCCGACTCTTGTTCAGAAAATAGGTAAGATGTTTTTATTTCGTAGTGTTGTCAATCCACGATATGGTGTTTCCCTTCAGTTGAATGTTTGAAAAATTAATCATCAAATGTTTTGTAAACATTGGCATGGTTTTCGAGAGAATGTATCAATTATTTTGTTAAGCGGTAATTACATTTTACTATATAGTTATATAATTGTGAATTACTGAACGATTGAAATGAGTGTTTATAATTTCGACTGTTATCTGACATAGCTCAATTGGATCCCTTTCTCGCATTTAACATCATCAATCATGACACACATTTCTACTGGTTAAACAGACAGGCGATTCGAAAATGTTACTACATCATTTGACGCTATGGTAAAATATAATTGTTTTATTTCATATTGATGCTCCGCCTGAGTTATCTAGGTACAAATTGAAATGCTCGATATATGATTTAAGAAACATTATTGTCATTTGAAGACATATGTATACTATACAACTAAATGAATCCGACCTGAGAAATTCCATCCGCTTGTTCTTGTTTCATCTCTTATTGTAACTGTGATCCAAATGGTCACATGGTAACTGGCGATTTTAGCATTATGAATTGTTGGCAATAATTTCATCGAGTTTGCTGGTAAAAACTTCCAACGGATTATTGACATACCTATACGGCATAACTCTGTTAGCAGATTTTTTTTTCATTCAAGACTGGGTTTATTGAAGACCTTATCAACATAGCTCAGAAATTTTGCTTATTTAGCCGGTAGGCTTGTTGTAATTATTGCAATTTATTTGTTTATTTATTTATCTATCTATTTACTGTCAGATAGTTCCGTTTCTGCGTCTGTATCATCTGGCTGTACTCAAACGACTACAACTGTGTTTGTTGGTAAGGGCGGTGGAGTCATCACCACCACCGCAACATCGACGACAACCGCTATACCAACAACTGTCACAACGACGAGTACCACTCCGACTACCACGCCCACAACAACCACTACAACTACAACAACCACGCCAACAACGACGACCACCACGCCCACAACAACGACCACCACTACAACAACCACGCCAACAACGACGACCACCACGCCCACAACAACCACTACAACTACAACAACCACGCCAACAACGACGACCACTACAACAACCAACACAGCTTCAACAACTACAAGTTCACAGACCAATGTTGAAGAATCGCCATCATCTTCAAGTTCAGAAGAAGGTAAATTTACATACCACGAATTACACAAAAATAGCATTAACATTGAATCTGTCAGGTAAAACAACTATTCCTTAAAAACACATATTCAACTTGTTTGATATTTTTTACGAAAACGTAATTGAGGTCGGTAATGGAGGCATACATTTGTCTGTTTATTGCACAATATTTCAGATAATATTGCATTGATTGCGGGAAGTGCGGCTGGTGCTGGAGTTGCAGTAGTGATGATTTCTGTTCTTATTCTTGCTCTACATAAGCGTTACAAAAACAGGCAAGTGGTTTTGTGACACATTCCGAAATAAGCTTGTTTTTCTTAAAGACAGATAAACACCATATATGCTAGTCAAAACATCAGATTTTTTTGTGGACTGTTAAAACATTGGGGGAGGTGGTTTCAAAGTGGAGGAGGTGGTTGTAACTTAATAAACATTAAAAGATCTTGACAGCAAACATTACCGCCATACGGCAATCGTAATATATTATTGACTTGTTAATGACTTTACATGCACTCCAGGCCTAGTCATGGCATTTAACACTGGTAAACATTTAAATAACACATAAAATGGGATATGTAAACACCGGTAATTGGAGAAGCTGGATATAACGAAAAATGGAAAGTTCACAATGAGGAAATCGAAGTTATGAAGCTTATGATTTCATACTCAAACCGATATGACGCTAAAGTATACTCATTTCTACATATTATTATGATACAATGGCTCCAAAATTATCGTATACTCATTAAAAACAGGAATGTATACAAAGTATCTCCTTCTAATGTTAACTACAACACTGTGATGGCAACTCATACCATTTCTACAACAGTATGATATAATATATACTCACAACAACACTGATATACTCATTACAGCACTATGATCTGTTCACAAGGCCCTGATATACTCACAACAAGACTATAATTATTCATGACAAGCCTATGATATACTCACAAAATGGCCATAATATATATACTTACAACAACACTATAATTATACGCTACAACACTATGATATACTCACAACAAGGCCCTGATATATATATATATATACTCAGAACAACACTACAACTTTGCACTACAACACTATGATATACTCACAACAAGGCCCTGATATATATATACTCACAACAACACTATAATTATTCGCTACAACACTATGATATACTCACAACAAGGACTTGATATATATATACTCACAACAACACTACAATTTTGCACTACATCAGTATGATATACTCACAACAAGGACCTGATATTTATATACTCACAACAACACTATAATTATTCACTACAACACTATAATATACTTACAACAAGGCCCTGATATATATATACTCACAACAACACTGTAATTCTTCACTGCAACATCATGATATACTCACAACAAGGCCCTGATATATATATATATACTCACAACAACACTACAACTATTCACTACAACACACAACACTATGATATACTCACAACACCACCATTTAATGCTTTTTATGTAATTGGTTTATTAATACTTCGGTCTCTTTTATATCTAGGGTCATTGATATTTCGTCAAGTAATAAATGAAGTGGCAGTGACGGACGGGAGGACGGACGGGAGGTGCGGCATCGTAATGGCGACAACATCTATCAGAGATAAGGCAATCATGACACAGGAAATGTTCATTCAGCTGAATTGATTTATATCCGATGACATTTTGTGGTTATCATATTTGTTTTAGAAAGTGTAATCATCCTCCTTCAAATTTGCATATTTTTATAAGCAGATTTCACAACTGAATTGTTAAACTATATTTTGTCTTTTTGTTTATGTAAATGATAACTGTGACACATGCAAACAATCGGTTTATTTGTGTTGACAGCTTTCCGTTAAAAGGTATATTGTCTTTCTTCGATACATAACGTAGGCCTATTAAACAAAAATAAAAAAGTAAATAAGTCGTTAATTTGAAGTTGGTACAATGCAATGTATCCATATTAGTAAAGATTCACTATACAGTGAATAGCTAAGAAAAGGATGGCTTTCGATGGTAGAAGGGCAATGGAAAGTGAACGGAACAAATTATCATGGGAGGGAGGGAATAGTTTCTGAGGGGCAGAGATTGCTCTTTAAGGGAAAGGGATGATGATATGTGAAGGAAATTGATTAATAGAGAGGTGGAATGTTCTTTGTGGGGGTCATAGGCTGCTATTTAGGTGAAGGGATGGTGAGAAAAATATATTATTAAGGAGGGAAAGGCGTTGTTTTTGAGTGGAAGGTGTTGTTTAAGATGAAGGTATGGTGAGGGAAATGAATTATTAGTTAGAGGAAGGAATTGTATTTGAAGGAGGGGAAGAAGTTGCTGTTTATTGGAAAGGATGGTGTTAGGTGGGTGAGGGGAACGAAATATTAGTGAGGAGAGGTAACGGTTTTTTAGGAGGAACAGATTGTAGTCGAAGGGAAGGAGTTGTGATATGTGACGGGAATGAATTATTATTATGGGGGAATGGTTTTAAAGGGAAGAGATTGCTGGTGAGGGGAAGGGATAGTGATGTGAGGATTGTCAATAGTTAATATTGATCTGAAATTTAGAGATGTTATCAAGTTTATTACAGCGTCTTAACACAAAGGGGGAAATGCACTCTTATCTATGATCCAGTATTATCTTCACGTTTGTGTGGGCATGGGCGTATGTTGTGCTTTTTTTTAAATAACATATTTCAGAAATGTATATTTAATATTATAAATCTGTACATTATATGTGATTAAAATGTTTACAAACAAAACACTCAATGTAGAATAACATATTATGTGTTACTCTGTTGATTTTTGACAATACATTCGTTACAATAGCTCATCGTTTAAAACCATTGTTTTTATAAACATGATAAAAACCTATTACTGAAGCTCACTGTCTGTTTGTTATCTGTTACTTGATGTATGATTTCAAGAACCTTTTTTCGCTCTGTTTTATTATTATTCTTTAAAGATTCTGATAGATTTTACAATTATTTTCACACTCCTCGGGATATTTAAATTCTGGATTGTATGTATACATACAAATATACCTAAATAACAACGGTCAGGCGATAGGTTTCAATGAAGTAAGTACACTTTTACACATGTAGTGTTAATATTAGAATCATATTATAATTACGTCAAGTTTCCTTTTAGTATTTTATTCAACATTTCATATTTTATTATTCCCGAACTTGAGGGCTGTAATGCATATTACAGCAACACCTTTTATGCACGATACCAACACATTGCACTAAAGTGTACAGAACTATCTAATCCTAGAGGGAACAATGAAACCGTGTATCAGCTGGCATTAACACTATACTATATAAACAGTTATCAGTACACAGGTATAATATTGTAAGGTGACCAGTACGAATACCTGAGAAAATCATCGCTAATTACTAGATCTACTAATATATAACATACTTTAAAGATCATTGGATGATATCAAATTTATAAAACTGGATCTTAAACACTCTCAAAAAAAAAAAAAACTGTGACGTCTTTCTGGGTTTGGGTTTAGGACCATATGAATAACAGTGGTGTATGAAAGGGTTAAGGGGCCATGGTTAATAATCATGTTATCGCATAGCGTGGCAGTACCTATAAATAGCTTGCAGTATAGACACAATATACAATCTGTATCAAATCTAGGGGAGCCATTGGTACCAATTTAAACGACACTAAAAACAGTGTTATTCCACGGAATATACAATCATTTATGATAAGATATTAAACCTGATTTGTCTTCGTATGCATTTATTTTCTGTAGATTAATTCCGGTCATTATTATCAAACGGTTAAATTAATTATAATAATTTCGCAATACTTGATATCGAGCTTTGTCAATACTATATTTTAAATACATGCTCGCACAATTTTATGTCAAAAAGGGAGAAAAAAGTTATTATCTTTGTAATAGGTTATTAAAACGATCTTATAATTACGTTTTTTGAACTATTTCATTATCCAGAACAGTTTACCTAGTGAGATTATGTTCGTTCGTGCGTACCTATCTACAAAGAATTTACATGTCATGGTCTCTGAGCTACCGTTGATCAAAATTCTACGGGGAAATTAAAATTATTTTTCAAATGCATGTGCATTACATGTCTTCCGAGGACATATTACACACCAAGTACGATGATACACAATTTTCCCAAGTGTCAAACTGACCCAGAGAGGTATTTTCTTAAATGTAAATAATGCTATTTATAATTTTAATTTGCATCAATTTTTAATTATTTCTTTATTTCTTATTTATTCGTTTATTTATTCATTTAAAATCAGAATAAAATATTCCATTCCAAAGATTGGTCAATTTGTTTTCGCGACGTCAATAAGTACATGAAAAAAAATCAGATTTTTGTTTTTGATGTTTCAAGCTAATAATACTTAAAGCCCGGCTCCATGAGGACTAGATCCGACTGATCGAGACGATACACACTGTGGGTGTCTCTACAATAGTGCATTGTTATAGACCAGGCATTGTAACAACACAGAAGTCATATTTCTAAACAAACAAAATAGATACGGAAACCTGATATCTTAGCTAGGCAGAGATCATTCCAAATCTCCCTAACATCATACCGACTCCAGCATTTCGACTCAACGTTATATTGCGATGAGTACTTTGTATATATCAGAAAAAATGTAAATTATTTTTATTAATTTTGCATTGTGATGATATATCTGGAGTACCTACATCCTGAAAGATGCTGAAAAGGAATTACTTCCTGGAAGTGTGTATCCTTATCTGGTGTATTCACACGGTGTTGGGTGTGAAGAAAGGTAGGGTATAACAGTTTTATAACATAGCTAATTTTCTCCGTTATGATTGAAAAAATATGCCTATAAGTCAGAAATATTAATGGAGAGTGAAACGTTTTATGTCACAATCATAAGATAAATGCAATTACAACTATTATTTAAGATCTATTTTATAAAGACATTAAGGTTATATATCTGTATGTACTCAAAGCGTTAGTGAAGGATAAACATAGAACTT